CACACACACACACACACACACACACACACACACACACACACACACACACACACACAAGCTGGCATCTTTAAGGGAGATCAAGCCCATAGGGCTGCCTCCAGTCTAAATCAAAAACTACTGTAGGCCTATATATAGACCAAAAACAAAGTGACAGGGCAAAGGTAACACTGGGATCAGTTCACAATGACAGAGCAGTGTTTATTGGCAGGTAGAGTGGCTATATACGGGACGTGAGGTGTGCAGCTGTCAGTGCTGCTGAGACATTGCAGGGTTTAACAAAACCTCCACCGAGCTCTCAATAATACTGTGCCAAGTAACACACAAAATAACCAATTCTGTCTGCCTGTCTTTCCCTCCCTCCAACTGATGCACGTGTACACACACACACACACACACACACACACACACACACACACACACACACACACACACACACACACACACACACACACACACACACACACACACACACACACATATACAAAACTGTCATTTTCCCAAAGGAGGGTCGATAGACCAGTCTTGAATCTATTCACAGCTGTCCAACAACATGAAAAGAATTGAGCTGGTGAAAAAGATGTCTCTTTCCTCCAACGCTTCTCAGTTGTCTTGACTGTCCAGCAGTAGCCTGCCTCTTATTAAATGAGCACAACACCTCCTTATTGTGACAGTTTGAGAATACTTTTTGCTTGAGTAAATTAAGAAAATATCAATAATATCAATATGATGAGCATCCTACTATTTCCATTTTTTTAAAACACCTGTGCGCACAGACTCCAGCGCTATCTGGACTTGATGTTGAATTCTTGCGATAAGACTTGGGTCGACTTGAGAAAAACTATTTTAAATGACCGGCTCCACCACTGGGTTGAAAACGGAGCCCGCATGTGCCATTTTAAAGTAGATATTATATTGAACCAATGCCCATATCCAAAGTTTTTATATTGTTGTTGTGTGTTGTACTAAAAACACCATCATCATCATCATCATCATCATCATCATCATCATCATCATCATCATCATCATCATCATCATCATCATCATCATCATCACTGCACTGAGCAGCAATGCTGTTCTGTTTGTGAATGTGCAGTTTACTAGACCAGTGGGCATAAATATAATGCTTAACTTTTTCTGTATTGTTTAGTTTATTATATCTTGACAGACAAGTAAACATCTATCATTCAGAAACAAATTAATAGTCATTACATTTTCAATATTTGATTAAACTTAACTGACTAACTCAATACATTTGAAGTGTGTACAAAGAGCAGCAATGAAATTATTCAGATTCAAGGATTTCAGCAAAAACAACCAATATTTTTAATCAGAGGGGGAATTAATGAGGCCTGTAAATCTCCTATTTTTTCACTCACCACTCCTTACCTTGCCAAAGCATTAGTAGAACCTGATGAGAATGAGCTATTAGCTTTGCCAGCGTACAAGTTTTTGTGTTGCCAGCTCTTATCCTGTGGAGGGAGATTTTGCAATAATTGCCCTGAAAATACTCCAGCTATCTCTCAATTTTTTGGACACCTAAATAATGTAAGACAGGATACATTTTCATTACTCTGTGGTCCCTGCTTGGATTGTGTGGGATGCTTTAACTTGTAATAACGCCTAGTATATTAGTGCAAAGCATTCCACATCATTTACATTAAATCAAATCCTTATTTAGAAGCAAAAATGTCTAATGTGGATGAGTAGACATTCTACAGTCTGTATCCTTTGCATAAATGTGCATATGCATGTATGACAGGTAGCATACATTAACACAGATCTGAGAGCAAAGGTTAGAATTCAGATTTTATATATTTTATTTACCTTTTGTGACTTGTTGACAGGTTATGTTTAAGGAGCAGAGAGACAGAGAGAGAGGGTGAAAGAGTAAACATCTCCTATTTTCTACCTTGAGAAGCATTCACCTTGTCAACATTGGATGCATGCACTTTATAAGAAGTTTTGAATCAAAAGCAGTCAGGCGGATTTGAATCAAGAGCAGAGATTACGTTAGTACCGCTCTCCCCCATCCATAGGGAAATGAGTGACAAAGAGGCAAGAGACATCTTCTGAAATGCAAGTTTCAATTTGTGGTTGCAGAAGTTTAGAATAGCAAATTGGCCAGACAAATATGATATTACAACAGACTGTAGTCATGGCCCTTGTTGGAATTGAGGTCCTGTGCGTGCATGGTAACTGACTGTGTGGCTCATGCTGCAACATTTTCCTCTTCCTAGGTAGAACATAACATTAGACTGGAGGTTAGTTGAGCATGGGTGACTTAATGTGGCATAGTTCATATTTCATCATTTCCTCGTCGCAGCAAAGCCACCGTTACCTGCTGCAGAGCTCTCAAGTTATCTCCACAAAGATCACTAAGGCAATGTATTTTCATCATGTTCCTTGTTGTCTTAGCCAATTTAAAGATCACAAGCTTAGTGTCGACATTTTACAGACACACACTCATCAATTTCTGCTGCAGCAAAGCTTTGTCACAGGGCACAGTTGTGTTAAAGATGAAACACATATGAGGCACTACTGATACTGCTGTGTGTGTGCTGTACCTTTATCTGCTACCCTGCAGCAGAGCAATAAACCCATGTCACGACTGACATAATTATCCAAATTCAGCCCCCTAAATACTGAAGGGAGCCTGTTTCTCTGCAACCATGCAAGTGAATGATTGCCCATCATAGAGGTGACCCCTTGTTTCAGAGTAGCAAGGAAATGTAATTTGGAAACCTCATACTTTGACAAATTAATCAACACTGTCCCTCATGTCAGATACTTTACTGACTTTGGCAGATATGCCTCAGGCTAATTTGACTGAATATCAGTGACTTGATCATTATCTGCTCAGCTCACTTTCCAGTGCAGGTGCTCCCTTCTAGGGTGATCTTTAATAAGAAAGGTTGTAATCTAAAATAGCAACGAAGTAGAAGAAGATCAAATAAAACCCTTTGTACACTCTAAAAAAAAATGCCTTGGCTCAACAAAGAAAATCAACATTTGCATCGATGTTTATTGAGTTAAGACAACTTCTAATGAAATTGTCTTAAAGCAACAAAGTTATTTGAGTTAGGGGAGGAAGGATTTTCCTCTACAATCAGAGGTGTTTTTAATTACCACTTACTTAATAATTGGTAGCATAAACACAAGTTTTTAAGTTGATTACTCAAAAAATTTAGTTTTTTCCAACTAGTTTTACCGCTTGATTTAAAAGGGATTTTATGTTGTATGTACTTAATTACCCTCATTCGGGATACAAGTTTTTAAGTTGATTACTCCAAAAATGAAGTTGTTCCAACTAGTTTTACCGCTTGATTTAAAAGGGATTTTAAGTTGTATGTACTTAATTACCCTCATTTGGGATACAAGTTTTTAAGTTGAATGCACCTGCTAACCAAACATGTTTTAGCTTTGGATATGTAGTGTTGTGTAGTGGGTGGTTTGTTTGCTTCGGCCATACCTCTTTTAGTTAATTATTTAGTCCTGAACAATCGTATGAATTAATAGCTGTATTAATAAGTCAGTAACTAAAAGAGGGCGGGGAGTGTTGGGGAATGATAAGTCTGTTGACAATAAAAACTCTATTTGACTCTGATCACTGTCATGTGTTTTCGAAAAAGGGTTTGCTATTCACGTAGTTATTGTTCAATACTTTACGTTAATTCCGGAAGTTTTATTTTCAGTGGGATATATGGATTGGCTATTGATTCGCAACGTAGGTGCTATCGTGGAACCAAGGTCGCAAGGAATTTTATCGAAAAAAAACACCCTTTTTTCCTGCTTCTTCTTCCTCATGGGTGTGTCTAATCGACCGTCTGGTTTTACGTGAGGTAGTTTTTGGTGCGTTAGTCGCGGAATTGGTATTGGATAAACAATACTTGGTCAGACACAAATAGAAGGAATTATGAGTAGTATTCACTGCTTATTCGAATAAAACTTTCCATTTTTTACATTAGGACATGTTTTATCACAGCTCCGGTATGACACATAATCATCTTNAAGTTATGCTTTTGTTACAAGAGAGACAAATGTTGTCTTTTTAAATTCATTGTACTCACGTGACGTCTAAGAGTAAGAGTGCAATAAATATTTTCATTGAAACGATGAGAATCGTGTGAGAATCGTGATCTCAATTCTTACGGAGGAAAATCGTGATTCACATTTGAGCAAGAATCGTGCAGCACTAGTTGTAATAACTGTGTTCACAGGTGAACCTGCACCAACAGATGGGGAGCTCATGGGGCTGGCAGGTCATTTAATCTTTCCAAAACACTGATCAAACCTGATGAACGGCTTATACAAGTTTAATTCATCATTTTCAGCCTGAGATGAATTGCCGCTTGACAGTGACAGGAAACAAATTAAATGAAAAGAAGAGGAAAACTAATATGCATTCATCACATTGCGATTCCTAGTAGTTTTAATCAAACATTACCCCACACTGGATCAGTGACAACTCAGTCGGTCTATCCAGCATGCTAGGCCCAGGTCTGCACTTTTCTATGTCAAATACTGATATGTACACAATTACATTTTATGATCAGTCTGAGAAGTTCTCTCTTATTTGCAAAACCCTTTTTTCCAACCAGCTTATGTGTAGTATGTAACGGACACACCAAAAACAAGAACTTAGAAATGAGGAAATAAATTGAATAGACACATGGTTGAACATTAGCATATTATGATGTGCCTGAAGGAGAACACATGCGGTTTCCCAGCACCTCTCATACGTTTCATAGTCTTTTAAATATGATCTTTATGCATAATATTATGATGTATGACTCAGGAATTTTGCCAAAAGGGATGTTCCACAGAAAGGCGGAATTTGAGGCTTGGGGGTTTTTTCAATAAAAAAAAAAATGCATTTTGTGCATTAAAAACTACAAACCTCGATACTGTTATACATTTATTGCATCTCCTCATAAAAGCCACGTGACACAAAACCATACACCAAATGTCGAGTGACGTCTCCTGAAAGGGGGCGTCGACTGCTTGCAACAGGTTAGAGCAACCAGGAAGTAAACAACCATGGTTTGACCCAGCGCGATAACTTACAGAAAACATTTAGTATTAACTTATTACAATTCCCCAAAACTATTTTGGGCTTGATAAGTCACGAGGATGTCAGCAGAAAAGGTAAATATGTGAAAAGGTCTGACAGATCCGCTGATATCTTCCGGTAATGGTCTATCTATGGTTTGAAAGACATAACCCTGAACATGCCAAAATAAAAACAGTTCATTATGACCGTGGTGTTACAATGGCGAGTCATGTAATTCTCAGGAACATAACAGAAGTAACTCCGTGTATATTGTTTACCGTGACTTTTAACCTTTTGTACAAAAAGGCCTAGAGTTTTGGGAAATTTAAATATGGGTATGTTTACCTTATTCGTTGAAGAACCATACAGGCTGATTTCATTCAAGTTATTACAATATGCACTAAAAACGCTAAGAAATACACCTATTGTTAGGCTACATTCTGTTTTTTCCTGCACAATACTCACTGTTTTACAGAACTTTCTGAATCATTGAAGTTCTAGCAAAGTGAGCTAACATACACATCCATCAAGATTCATATTACTCTAAAAATAATAATAATGACAATATTAGGTTTAGCAGACTTTGTGTATCCACTCACGATGTCTCCACACAGACTGTATGCACTTTATTAACGGTGTAGGAAGCTACAAATCAAAGATGTCTTTCAGCCATAGTCTGTAAAAGATGAATATTAAGCTTTCAACTTCAATTCAGCACCTTAAATTAAAAAAAGTATAATAAGAAAGTGATAGGCCACATTTATATTGATACTAAATAATAAAGTGAATATAAGTGAGGTGATATCTCATCACAGCTTCATTGTTTTTCAGCTCAGACACCTCCTGATGTGTGATTAATTGTTGAATTGTAACCTTCTGGTCTTGTGAATCATAATTAACACTTAAAGATTAAAGTTTTCACACTCTAATCCTAACGTTACAGAGTGTATGATCTTATGCATAGCTCTGACTTTAAAGATATTGGTTTGTGATCCTAGTGCTGACGTGTGTGATCATTTATTTGTCAAAATTGCTTTTGTTTCCCTGCTTGGCCTGTGATTCACACTCCTGCTGTTGAGCTTTTGGGTCGTACACCAGTGTGATCCATAACACACACGCTGTTCAGCTGTCATATCTCCTGCCCGTATTTCCTTTTTTTATCTGAGCCACACATCATGAACTGAGCTGTTAGGTTTATGGGCTCTTTAACTACCCCACTGTTAGATCTCATTGGATTGAATTAATTTGTCTTTTTAGGCAGGGTTAGGTCGAATTCACCCTGGGGTTATTGCATCGGTGGTCTTCGTCTCTGTGGCGGCAATACTTGCTGCTCTATTGATCATCCGAAAATACTGCTACCCAGTCAAGTAAGCAGACTTTATAAATGAGCGTGTATGAGAGTATTTCAAATCCTCAGTGCAGTATGAACACATCACCCTGGTCTGTCACTTGCTTTCAGTGAGGCGAGTTACAGATACTCCACGCTGAGGGGAATGGAGGAACAGGGTTCAGCCATGACAGAGGGGGGGGACACGGGGCCCTGCACAGTGGGAGAGGAGTCGGATGAGGTCAGTGCTTCATGGCTACCCTGACTATATTTTTCATTTTTCACTGTTGTGTATCCCACAGAAACACAACACAGCTTACCCTATCTCTTCACACGTCATGTTTTTTTTTCTCATGACAGGATCTTCTGGAATAAGTGTCCGAGGGGGATGCTGCAGGACTGGCTGAGTTTATTTTGGATGAATTGTGTGCTTAAGGACTTCAGCAAAAGATTGTTTTCCTTGTAGATGAATCCTTTGTTCCACTCAACATCAGAAACAAGTAAGAAAATACCCATCATCTTTTTCTTCAAGCTCAAATGTGTTTTCTTGTCAAGTCTAAAAAACCCAAATCTTAAACCTATTATATATAGAGGAATTGAAAAGCACCAACTTCTCATGTTTTACAAAATGTTTGGATTTTTTTTATTCACTGGGCAATAATATAAAGACTGAATCTCCTATAAAAGAGATGATTTAATTTTCAGACGACTGATTGATTCAATAATGGATTTGTTGCACCTGTGGATTATGTTTCGGGATTTGTATTCTTCGCCTGGCTCGATTTCTTATGAGAGTGTTATTTCCTTATGTTTAATGCAATTTCAGTCAGACAACTCACATGTTTCTTTAACATGTTTATTAGAAGCAGTATATAGTTGAGTTTGGCGACTAGGCTCGGGCATCATCACTCCATAGATATACATAGCACTATGAGTGATGATTAAATAACTATCCCCTGAGCCTACAGGTGGAAGCTGGGGTGGTGGTGGGGCAGGCAAGCAGCAGCGACGTCGAGGTAGCTTCAGCAATAGCAGCAGCAAGCAATGCATGGAGAAAGATCTGACAGGTTAAATAGAGCGGCGTATTAAGCAGAAATCTGTTTGGTTGGTTGTAGAGTGGCAAGAAGCGTTATGTATGAATGCAGCTTAAGTGCTCGAGTTGACGGGCTGAACTAGCTCGCAGGCTTCGCCCCATTTCTTAAATCTGTATTCAAATGTTGTTCCCTCTGTCAGCAATGTATCAACAACTACACACACATTTATATCAGTATTTCTCTGTGTTGTGGTTGACATGATGATGACTGCAGGAGTTAAGGGGAGATGCTGAGCATCACCATGAATTTTGTAAATGGACATACAAATGAAATAAAAGGGGAAAAATGCCTCCAATGTTTTTAGGCTGTAAACTTTAAATGTTATGTAAGCCAACTAGACAGACAGTTGATCACTCTTCCTCCTGTACATTAGCAGATCAAGTGTGAATGAATGTTAAATAAAGAATGCTGGATAAACTTGCATCTCCATGAGCTCTATAAGCTATGCAAAGACTGCCTTCTTCATGTCGTGAATTGGCAAGCTGATGTTTAATATGGCAATTGGCAAAGTTTGACATTTAACTTATACAAACATTCGGAAGTTGTACATTTGACTCATACAATAACCCACCTTCGAGTGATGCTCAGTTCCTCTTGCTTGCGCCGGACTGAAAACTGTCTGACTTCTCTTCACCTGCAACTAGTGGCCTTATCAAAGCCGGATTGGTCAGATGTCGATTCATTGCAACGGTTCGGGGGGGAGTGCGCGGAGACTGCGCTGAAAACTTGCGGAGAACAAGCCGAGCGCATAAGCCGAGG